TTTACAATAAGAATTTAAGTTATATGACACTTTTTCTCCGAGTGTTTTTGTACGGTTGCATATGTATGTACATGAACTTTGTTATTTATCTATATTAGAGTGTTTATTTAGCTAAACGATGGGCGTTGCACAATATGTGTCAACGCCAATTGTTGCCTGGAGTTGGTTGCAGCGAGCCGCAAATTGTCTTTAATTGTGCACATTGTGCAGACACAGATCACACAGGCTGACGTCACAACATGTTGTTGATCTGTTGTTGTCAGTTGCATTTCTGAATCATATGCAAATTGGTTTTTGGGTTCGAGAGCCGGCAAAGAGCCAATGTAAATAAAATATTGAGAAGAAGGCCAATCGATTTGGCGGTTAGGCAAACAATTTAAATGCAAATCACGTGTTTTTCTTAATGCACTTGATCAATTGACTGATCTTGAATTCAGAATGGAAAGGGAAATACTATGGAAACGATCGCCAATGAAAATTGACATTTGAATGTTAATTTTAATGGCGCAAGTAGGTGAAAATAGAAATGATGCAACTGTTGCAACTGTTGCAACTGTTGCAACAAACAAACAATCATTCATTTATTGTTATTGAATGCCTCTGACAGCACTTTAAAGAGAATTTATGATATTTTGTCGTTGCCGTTGTTGTTGTTGTTGTTGCTGTGTAGCTTCCTATTTCAATTGATCCGCTTCATATCATGTTTTTCACTATCACAACAGACACTTACAATTTTCTCTGATGCATTTTTCATGTCTGGTAATTGAACACCTTACCAAATGCGACACTTAAAAGCATTGGAAATCATTTCAATTAACTGTCAAACTGCTGAGAAGAAAAAAAAACCGAAAAAAAAAACGAAAAAAGAAATCTGGTTTAACAACTCTATATTCGAGCTGCACTTGTGAGTCAGGCCTATCTGGAGTTTGTTTATCGCTACTTGTCATTTGGCAAAGGTGTTAATTTTCTCGCCTTTTTGTCGTGTGGATTATGCAAATCCAGATACCTTATCATGTCTGATTATGTAGATAGCATTAGCATTGCTGCCTGCTGCCTACTGACTGCTCAAAAGATGTATATATCAACATAATTCTAAGGTCAAGTTTAAGTCCAAACAAATAGCAGCTGCCAACATTAATTCGACAACAACTACTACGACGCATGATGCTAATAAATTTTGCTAAAAAAAAATATATATGTGTTCTTCCCCCTTTGAATTAATTTCATGATGATGTCTGTCGTCACCGCTGAGCTGCTACTAAATTTACATATGCATAAATCTACACACAGATACTTTAAGTTGTTCGTGTGTGAGTGTGTGTGTGTGTGTGCGAGTGTGTATATTTTTTGTGTGTAAGTTTTGTTTTCAGTTCAAAGCACTCGCGGCCACAGGGTCAATGTAAAATTGAGCTGACCATGTCCATGTTTCAGTTTCGTTTTCCATCTCTGCACTGAGAGAAAAAGCTTTGGAATTAAGTCCAATATTGTTCAGTTATGGGCAAGAAAACGCTACACCAAAATTTCAAATTACATAACTTTTTTTGGATACCATTATGGTTTTTCTCTTTATAAAATTGATGTGTTTCTTGAAACAGTTCCAGATATTTCGGAAATCAAGGACTAAGTTAAACAAGTCAACGAATGTTCTCATTTTCAAATATCGAAACCGTTACAAAAATATTTCTTGAATATGTGTTCAAAGCTTAAGTTCAAGATAAAGCATTTAATTTAAATAAATAATTGTTTGTAACTATGAAGAACTTTCTACTTTGTTCGAGAATTTTTGTACTCATTTCATAGCATACAACAATGAATTGCTCAAGAAATTTGTAGATCAATGATGCTTAAATGGCATGTTGAATTTTAAAATGTTCTCCGAGTGTACCAGTGCCCTAAAAAAGCTGAATAGATATGTTATATATTTAATTTTGTGGGCTAGGGGATATAAACACCGACTGACGCTATAAATTATCGCTGTGCTCGCATAAATTGCGTATTGCTCTGCTATCTAATTGCGATTTGAATGCGTTGTTAAATTCGGTTTATTTAGCTGTTTTCCGATATTTAATGTGTCTGATACACACACACACACATATATATATATATATATATAGACACGCACAGTATGCGGGTGGTTGTTAATTTTTTTTTTTTTTTATTAGCTTTTAATGATGTCTGTTTTATTTTTAAAGCTTTGTTGACTTTAAAAAATTGATGTGAATTTAACACATGCATTCAAGGTTATCCAAAATTTTCAACTCAGTTATCAGTAGAATGTATAAGAAGAACATTTGTTTAGCGCTTGCGGCAGCTATCCACAAAAGCAAGTTCAAGGCTTTTCCTAAGTTTTAAGACTCAAAACGAAACGATCCGAGGCAGACGCTGCGCATAAAACCCTGATTTCAAAAGGCTGACCACGTAATTTATTATAGTTTTTTTTTGCTGTGGCATACAGAAATTCCTGGAATCAAATTTGTATCCAAAGCGATTCAACAACAGCAAAAAATGGCATTAATTTTAAGGCGCTGCAAAATTTATCTTCATTGTGTCGCGGTCACAAACTTTTTGGTTTGAAACGTGATCAAGATACACTCAGCAAAATATTTATATTTTTTAGCTATGTTCTCAGATATAAAAATATAATTAGTTTATAAATATCTTAAGTAAGTTTAAGAATTATTCTTTCTTTATTCATCATTTCTTAAATGATGAGAATTACGCGTGTAGTTTAGCTACAAAATGATCTATGTTTTCTCGAAGTGCACAAAAGTCACAAAAAGTGAATCACGACGATCCTTGAAAGTTCTTTCATTTCATTACCGATGACATCAGCAACGTCCGTTGCAGTTGCCCCAAATTTTTTGGAACTTGATGCCGCATGTCTCGCTTGAAGCGGCCATCTTTTTATTTCCACATCATTTTGTGACGCACGTAACAGACGTGCCTCGTGTTGCATTTGCATTGCGAAATCTCAATCTCATTTACCGGGTGTGTACTTGAAATATGATATTGCATCAATCTTTTAATTTGATGCCAAAGACTTCTCGGAACTGCCGCCGTTCAATGAAAATGTCTGCGGAATTTAGGACAATTTTAGCTATTGAATTGAATATTAATTGGCACGTTTACGCTGTTCAGCATCCGTCAGTTGCCTTAAATGGAACACACAGTTGTCAACAGTGGCCGACTACTTAAGTTGGCCCATAATCCGCTTAAGGCAAAGACGTTTAGAATACGAGAAAACCCCACTGCGTAGTCGAATTAACATTTAATATGTTGCTTATGTAAATATGCGAATCATTTACAGATCCGATCGGGCTATATATGTGTGTATCTCTGAGTGTGTTTGCACTCAAGCCCTAAAAGAGGCGCAGCCAAAGTGGGCGGCCGGGAAAGAACCGGCTCGTGCCTGAGCGATAGCAAACCAGTCATAGCGTCAATGACTTGTCTCATGCACAGAGAGAAAAATATAGTAAGTGATCTCGAATCGGAGTATATTTAATTGTAGCTATATGATGATGGAGAGATTTACCAAAAATCACACAAAACCAATCAAAAAGTATTCAAACAAGTCACAAATTAAAATGTGTGTTTATTTTCACTTTAATGATTGAGTTTGAAAATACGAAAGTGAAAATAACATTAAGTCGTCTTCTACTCGACTATCTAGATTGTAGAACACTTTTGTATATTTTTCCTCTCTGTGTAGAAGATGCAGCAACATCATCGTATCAGTAATTGAGTGTCTGCCACAAATTTATGCCACTTGGTTTAATGACCCCCACGAACCCATTGGTAATTGAGCACTACGTATTTATGGATATGCATTTATGCACTTATTACTATGTTTTCTTTTATGTTTCAATTTACCTGGACTTTCCACACCCATTATGGCATCGCTATCCTCTGTTCGCGCCGCATGCATTAATATTAGAGAATTATAAAATAGAATTTATCAGCGCATCTATATCAATGATGTCAGCTTCACTTAGTCAGGTAACAAACAACAAACAACAAACAAGCCTCGTCATTGTCTATTTCTAGGAACCGAAACATTTGCCAAAATAACAAAAAGAATGAGAAATAATCGTTGCATGCAAATCTTGATGTATTGGCTCATTGCGCTGAATAATTCGCAGATCACTTGTTATTCAACTAAATGGCATTTTGTGTCACTGTGCAAAATAACAAAAAATATTTTCGGCATTGCACTTCTCGTGTATTTTTCGCATTATTCAAAGTCAAAATGGCTGCAAACAACTGTTGAATGAATTTTACTTGTGGTGCATAGGTGCGAAGACGGATGAGCTAATGGCAAAAACTATATATATGCAATTAACAATCTAGGCTAGAATGGGCATATATTATGTACAAAATACCAAATATAATATTTTTATGCAATGAATGATGCAATAAACCATTGAGAAATAGCCAGCTCTTAATTTAGTTATCTAAGTTTTTGTGATTGCAGGTTGGACTAAATACTGCTATCGTTTTAAGTGCATCATAAATGCACAGCTATAACTTAAAATAAAAGTGAAAGCATCAGAATAAAAAATAGACACACCGAAATTTATATACCCTTGCAGATGGCAGCTCTAAACTGAATCATTCATTTGAAAAAAGACGGCTTTTGTGTATTGATGATTATGATTTATACTTTATTGGTTTGCAAGTGTTTCCTTTAATACATTATTCAGCTTCCCTCTGCAAGGGTATGCAAATGATGCAGTCTCTAGTTGAATTCATAAACGCCAAACTCATAAAAATAATTGCATAACAACTTTTATGTGGTTTACACACACAAAATATAATTTGTAGAAAATCATGAGTTCATAAATCCATTACTATGACCCATAAATATCTATGAAATAGGTTCTTCAAAAAGATATACCTATGGGCAAGTGCTAAATATCAATTTAGTTTAGCACCAAAGTTGAATGCAGCCAGTGGGTAAATATGCTTGTATATTGTATATCGAGAGATTTACGAGTACTCACCTTCGTTTACGTAACCGCCGTCCATGGTGCCAAATGTGTACACCTCGTTGCGGCTGCGAGTTCGGTTGCCTTTGAACACCTTGGCCACGACCTACGTCTATATCGACACACACACACACGTGCTGGAGAGGGGCGCTGGGTGGGGGGTGGAGGGTGTTGGCAACAATTCTGCTATCTGTATCTGGGCGATGCACTCGACACCTCAGCTGGATTTGTGGCTGTAGCTCTCTGTTCCGCGTTCTCAGCGATTTTTATTTATTTATTTTTGTGGCAAGATGCTGCTGTCTGCCTCTTGGCTGGCTATTTATTAAAATGTATTTGGCGATTTCACAACGCTACACACTCCACAAAAATTAATGAAAATATAGTGTTGTTGTTGTTGTTGTTGCTCAGCACTTTATTTTGAGTGGGGGGGCATGGCCTGTTGAAGCAGCAGCAACAGCAACAGCATCAGCGGCTGTACTGTGTTTATTTTCATATATGGATATTGTTAGATGCTTGGCATATTGTGGCACGTCTGATAGCGAGTACCAGTTTCATTTGCTACCATAAACAAACAGGCGTTGTTGCGGCTTCGTCCCACTGTGCAGAGTGCGGAAATGTGCTGTAGTAGTAAGTATCTAGCAATTGTATCTGCAAGTCCTCTTTATGTGCTTTTGTCTCTGTCTGTCAGTGTGTGTGTTGTGTTTGTGTATGTGTGTGTATGTGTGTGTGTTTGGGGCAATTCTTGTGAATTTGCATGTGCCTGTGGCGCGTATTGGGATTTGGCGTTTCTAATACTTGATGGTGGTTGGTGGTAGATGGTTGTCTGCAAATAAATAAAAGAACGCGGCACACATAAATTATCAAGCTACAGTTAGAGAAAAACAAATCTCTTAATTGAAGTACAAATAATATATTTAATTTGCTTAATATTAAACAAGTTCACCAAAGTATACATTTAAAATTTCTACTGAATCGAAGAAGTAAATCTCTTAATTTTTAAAAATATCTGTCTTCATATCGCAACTGTTTTATACCATTCAATACAAAACCCACCATTTTTCTTTGAGTGCACAAAATTGGACGCTGATAAATGTTGGACCCTATGATGACCCCAGGATGTCTTCCCGAAACACATTCGCTGTTAAATGAAATGGGCTTGTCTCGTGCAAAGTGCAAGCCACCGAGATGAACTCTCAGATTTCAAGGCGCTGTCATTGCAGAAATGCTTGTCTGCATCTGTATCTCTATCTGAATGTGTATCTGTGTATCTGTGTCTGTTATGGCCCATTGCCTGCTCGACAGCCGACTGTTCTAATTTTGGATGAGAGCCATCAGAGAAAGAGAGAGAGAGTGAGCGAGAGAGAATGAGAGAGAGAGAGACGCCTTGACATTTGCCTGACTTTGTAAAATGCGCGGCTGCATTTTTAATGAGAAGAGATGCGAAGCAAGCATTGCTAAAATCCCTCGAATGCCACATGGAACAGACAGACAGACTATGTGGGGCAGATTCATGTCACCGCAAATCAGTATCTTAAAAGTGTATCCGCAAATGTATTTGTTTATTTTATTTGTTTATTTGCTTTCTTTGTGTGACAATTGACTTAAGAAGTAAACAAATTGAAGGTTTGTGATTTAGAACCAATTTACAATTGATAAGTTTTTTTTTGAATTTCATAAATTGATTAATTTCCTATGCCAACTGTTAGTTGAAATTAAGTAAATAGCAAAGCAAGTAATAAATATTTATAAAAATATATGAAGACACATCGATTAAGCTCGCAACGATTTCATTCTGATTTTGGTCATGCCATAAAAATCCATTAGACCAATTCAGGCTTAAATCGCACTCAAGTTTGGCCAATTCAGGCTTAAATCGCACTCAAGTTTAGCCGCTTGCTTGGCTTCTTTGAATTTTCACGCCAGTTCACCATTGCTGTTGTTTGTATGTTTTAACTGTTAGTAAACACATTTGCAGGTACTTCTGCAAAGCGGTTTTGAACTTAAGTGCACACAACTGCTGATGTCATTTATCCAATATTTGCGGCATAAATTGAAAAACTAATTTGGACTGTAAACACATTGTTGAACTGAAAAATCACTGCGTTTGTTTGTTTGTTTTGTGCCGTTTTGAAGTAGCAAGTTCAATGCCAAAATGTACTCCCATAATTATGCTAATAGCTGTAAGCTGCCAAAGTATCTCTTACTTAAGTGCTTATCGGTCGAGTGGAATCGAACTGAAATTCGAACCGCACGCGGACAAAGCTGTTGGGCAACTGCCAGAAAACGAAAGCCGGAAACCAAACGAAGCGTGAGTCGCAGTGATAAAAACTGAAATTACTTTACCAAAAAGCGCCGAATTTATGCATATTATAATAAAAAAAAGCAGATGCCGATGCACGGAGAGCGACAAATGTCTGGAGGGAAAAATAAGAGAGCTGTAATCGAGATAGCTCGCCTAGCACATACCCTGTAGCCAGCCCAGACATCAGAGCCAGCCAGCCCTCTCTGATTTTTACATTTATCAGACATTATTTCTGAAATAAATTGATCGTAATAACATTTTTTGGATATGCAGATCGTATTCAAGTGTGTGAACATGATAAGTTTCTTGATTTGAGATTAAATATCTTAATTTGAGATTCATATTCCTCAAGATTATTAATTTCTTTTAGATTCCAAGTTTTAGACAGACGGACATGGCTACATTTATGCTAATGCTGATAAAGAATTTATTAATTTTTTTGGATGTCTCCCCTTCTGTGTATACCCCTTTAAAATGGTTGCAGGGTAGCGAGAGAAAGAGTCGCATCAAATAAAATTGGCCTGGCGCTGACAGCGATGGGTAAATCATCAATGGATTCATACTTGACATTCGTTTAAGCGACAAGAAAGAAGAGTGAGCGAGAATCTAATGCCAAAAACGTAGCTGGTCGTTAGACTTTCAATTTGGGCAGTTGTTCAATTTGATCGAAAAGGCGGCAGCGGCAAGCGAAACGAATTTTAATTGATGCCACAGACAGCGCCGAGCGCAGAGAAGAAGACGGAAGACGTCACTTTCTGGGCTGCCCCTGAGCGATTACTAGAGCATATTACATGGGAAACGAGTGTCTGGCATAATTAGTGCGGCACTTGATTAATAATCGTTGAACTCTCTGTATGACCCGCAGGCGCAGCCGCAGCCGCAGCCTCAGACCACGCCTACAAATTTTATTTTATTTTATTTCCCATTCATTTTTTATTGTTCTTGTTGTTATGATTGTGGTTGATTTGTTGTAACTATTAGCACATTATGCATTTTTAATTGAACTTTATTGAGTTAAATCTGTGGCTCTGGCCTTCGTTTTATAATAACCCCTATCACGCCCGGCCCGGCCCGGCCCAATCCACCCCACCCCTCCCTCTCTCACACTTTTTGTTTGGCAAACAATTTAAAGAACCACAATTTGATCAATTGATTTTTCTTTTATGCGTTGTTTATGAGTGTAAATATTTGAAGTTTAGGACGGCTGCTGGGCCCATGCAGCTGGATAGCTCTTAATGCATTTAATTCAATACCACAGTGCCATCAATCAAAACAACAAATTGAATCCAAGGAAAGGGTTTTCGGTTAACTGCATGTCGGTTGCTTGGTTTTGGGTATCGAGTTAATTGCCAACACAAGTTCGTAATTATGTAATTGTCATCGTTGTCTTGTTGTTAAATTCCCGCTGCCTTGAGAGTGTCACATTGTTTCTTTGACCATGACAAGGCTTTGTTGCGTCAACTTGTCTACCAAAATGACAAACAAGAAATAACTGCAGAAGTTCAACTTTACTAATTATGCTAAATGAATTATATGTGTATAACTGAAAATCGGAGTTAAGCTGAGAATAGAGCTCATTTTAAATACAGGCAACAGCAAAACATAAATTATGTTTGTAATTATTGTAAGTTATTGCATTTGAAAATGGGTTTAGCCCTAATAAAATGATGTTGCTGTCTGGAGTGGGGATTTAACTCAAACCCTCTTTCCCTTTTGGGACATACGAATACAGCTAAATTTCAAATAAACTTCTACACTATTTTAATTGTCAATAGGTTAACCACACTGCACACAACCGAAAATATAAGGCCATCTCTGAATAAGTGTTGGGCAAGTAATGGTCACTTAACCTTTGTGCGTTATAACTGCATATGCCATCGTCAAGAAGCCAGTGCCCCGAAGCTTTAGGCTTTAGGAGCACTTAAATTAAGTGTTAAGCTTCTAAAAGGTCAATAAGTCATAGTCAAGCAGTAAACATAATTTTTTTATGCTAACACAAATGTTTTGTCTATTTGGAAATTTAATTTATATTTATTGCTTAGGTCATTTTGTATCTTTGTTTATTGCAGTTGTAACGACAATTTTGTCACAACGCTCAACGCCCACTGATAGGCGACTTAATTGCAACCTGTCCACACTAATACTACTTTGCCACACCAGCTGAGTTGAGATATCACGTATACGCATTATGTCTACGTCGCTGGGAATTTGAGAGGCGATCATTAGGCAGCTGCTAGCCTCACAAAAACCAATTGAGTGTCAGTTCAGCAGACCATACAAAACAATGGAGCTCGATCGTGTTCAGGAGGGGCCAAGGAAACTGTATCGCAGTAAAAAATTTATTAGCGCCAGCTTCTGTTATTGTTTGTTAGTCGATCGACGACGACGTCATCGTTGGCTGTCACCGTTGTCAGCTGCTGTGTAGCGGCGCAATAATATATATATATTTTTTAAAGATAAAACAACATGATTTTTTTTCGCTTGAAAAGTGAGAGAAAAACCGAAACAAAAATCATAAATTCTATTGAAAGTAAATAACAAAAAAGTGGGTCAACATTTAAAATCTGACATTGCTGCGCCTGAGGTAGTCGCACAAAGTGCCAAAAAAAAAAACACATCACTCATATTAATAGCCTAGAACAAAGTAGAGAGAATATTTAATTTGATGCCCAAGAAAAACGAATACAAATTATATTACGATCATTCGCAGTAATACATTAAAATATTAATTTTGGCGTTACACGTGGCGAATGCTTAATATTACTTGCTCATAAAAAAAGCAATTACGTTGAGTACCAATACATTTAATATTTTGTGACTCAAAGGCAAAAGTTCAGTGCACTTTTGCCGGCGTTTGAAAAGAATAAGACGAAAACAAGAATTCATTAAACAGCTCAATAGACATTAACAAATTTGAGTTCCGGCCGATTGCCTTGTTGGGTAAAAAGCCCTAAGGCGTGATGGAAATGGCTGCCGAAGCCGACAAAGCCAATTGCCAAGATAATTAGCAACTGAATTGCCATGCAGGCCAAATTAGTCATAGCTTTTAAATGCTACACTAAATTTTACCAAAATTGAAATGTTTTTGTCTTCAACACCTACGTGCAGAACTACCGCTGACATCATTCAAATTCAAATTGGCCTAAATAAATTACTTAATTCGCAGAATTGCAAAAAAAAAATAATTCTTATTTGAAAACTCGTGAAGGTAATTCCAAATTTTCACACACACTTGTAGTTTATTTGTACATTTTTAAATTCTTTTGAACCGTTTTTTATATTTATTTGCCTTGCTATTTTTATAGCTGATCATATGTTGGCAAAGTCTGCCCAACTTGTGCCATTGGCAGTACCAAAGACGCACTAAATCACCACAAGCTGTTTTGATATCAATACTATATACTTTTATCCCACTAAAGTTTACCGCACAACGGTATTTCATCGCTAAGGTTGACTAAATGACGATTGCGTTCCAAATTTTTCATGAAATCAGGCAAGTCAATTAACGGGGCCCAAAGTCG